TGGCCCAGACACCTAGCCCCAACCTGAGCAGTTAGCAAAGCTCTTCCCAAGGGGAGAGACAAAGGGAGGGAGGCGGAGACGAACACCTGGCTCGGAGGCAGGGTCTGGGAGCAAGGCAGTTTCTGGCTGGGCAACATGAAGGGAACAGACGAAGCTGAATGCTGAGGGGGCGATGGACCCCCTAACCCAAGGGGTCTGAGGCATCCTGGCACTGACTCCTGTAACCACATCACATCTGTGCCGTGCTGTATCCTAGAGGAGCAATAAACCCTCTCTGTTCTACTGGCTAGCGGAGTCTGTTCTTGCTGCTCCAGGGGTGCAGGATGGGGAGGGGGTCCCTGATACGCCTCCCCAACAGTAAACTCAGATAAGTTTGTACAGAATCATAGACTCACAGAACGCTAGAACTGGAAGGGACCTCGTGAGGTCACCCAGTCCAGTCCCCTGCCCTCACCGCAGGACAAAGTACCATCTAGATCATCCCTGACAGGTGTCTGCTCTTAAATATCTCCACAGATGCGGATTCCACAACGTCCCAAGGCAATTTATTCCAGTGTTTAACCACCCTGACAGTTAGGAAATTTTTCCTCGTGTCCAACCCCAATGTCCCTTGCTGCAAATTAAGCCCATTGCTTCTTGTCCGACCATCAGAGGTCAAGAACAATTTTTCTCCCTCCTCCTTGCAACAAGGCCCTCCTTACGTACTTGAAAGCTGGAATCATGTCCCCTCTTCGTCTTCTCTTTTGTAAACTAAATAAACCCAATTCTTTCAGTCTGCTCTCACCAGTCTTTTTTAGACTTTTAATCGTTTTTGTTGTTCTTCTCTACACTTTCTCCAATTTGTCCACCTCTTTCCTGAACTGGACACAATACTCCAGTTGAGGCCTCGTCAGCGCAGAGTACAGCAGAAGAATGACTTCTCGTGTCTTGCTCACAGCACTCCTGTGAATGCCTCCCAGAATCCTGGTTGCTTATTTTGCAACAGCGTCACACTGTTGACTCATATTTAGCTTGTGGTCCACTCTGACCCCTAGATCCCTTTCTGCAGGGCTCCTTCCTAGACAGTCACTTCCCATTCTGTGTGTCAGAAGTCAGTCATCTCAGCAGACACATAACCCCCAGTCTGCTCAGCAAAACAGAGAGGAATTCAACACTGGGTGAAATTTTCAAAAGTGTCTTAGGATACATCCGCACTAGACTTCACAGCAAGTCTCCGAGCCTGGGCCTTGAGGGGCTCACACTGTCAGGCTGGGTCTCAGAGCACAAGCTGTAGCCCAGACAGGATGCCTGCAGGACTCATGCCCATACGCAGGGGTGTGTGTACCAAGGGTGTGAATGTGGGGGAGTGAGTGTGAGGGGGGAGTGTGATATTCATATGTTATAACAAAACCATTTTACCAATCATTGTTTCCACTCCAAGTTTTCATTGTGCACACTCATTGCACGACTATTTCGAACTCTTTATATTTCAAAAAATTGCAGTCCACATTTACAAAAAAAAAAAAAACACCTGCCCCAGAAATTCCTGCATACGGTCCTGCTACTAGTTTTAGCCGCATAGCAATGAACAGTGCTACCAACAGCCAAGGGCAGCATTTATGGGGGGGCTAGAGGGAGAGGGTAAAGTGGAGTAGCCCCTCCTAAAGTCTGAAACTCCTGGATTTCATACCTAAGGTCTGCTTAAAGCCCCTGCCCTGGCTCCAGAGGTAGCTGCTCCCAGCTTTGCCTTTGGGGCAGGGAGTGGTTTATAAACAAAGGGAGACAGGTGATTAAGAGTAACAAAAGGCTGGGCATGAAGCAGGTGATTAAGAGTAACAAAAGGCTGGGCATTCCAGTCACTGAAGGATCATTAGATCATCATGAAAACATGGCCACGTACTTGGAGGGGGGAATAGAAGGGAATAGCAAAGAAGGTTGTGTTGCTGGAATTTGCATTTGGACAACTTCTGTTAAACTTCTCATAAACGTTCTTGAAAAAGAGGCCAACAGTGAGGTGGCAACATGATACAAAACGACTCAAAATAGTTAAGTCCAAAGCTGCCTGCAAAGTGTCACAAAGGAATCGCACAAAACTGGGCAACACGAGGGCAGATGGAATTCAGGGTTGATAAATATAAAGTAATGAACATGGTAAAATAGAATCCCAACTATACAAACAAAAAAGATGGGGTCTAAATTAACTCTTACCATTCCAGAAAGAGATCTTGGAATCATTGTGGCTAGCTCCCTGAAAATATCTGCTCAGTGTACAGCAGCAGTCTAAAAACTAGAAAACTAAGGGTATGTCTATACTACCTCACTAGTTCGAACTATCGGGGTAATGTAGGCATACCGCACTTGCAAATGAAGCCCAGGATTTGAATTTCCCGGGCTTCATTTGCAAGTGCGGTATGCCTACATTACCCCGCTAGTTCGAACTAGTGAGGTAGTATAGACATACCCTTAGTTTTCTAGTTTTTAGACTGCTGCTGTACACTGAGCAGATATTTTCAGGGAGCTAGCCACAATGATTCCAAGATCTCTTTCTGGAATGGTAAGAGTTAATTTAGACCCCATCTTTTTTGTTTGTATAGTTGGGATTCTATTTTACCATGTTCATTACTTTATATTTATCAACCCTGAATTCCATCTGCCCTCGTGTTGCCCAGTTTTGTGCGATTCCTTTGTGACACTTTGCAGGCAGCTTTGGACTTAACTATTTTGAGTCGTTTTGTATCATGTTGCCACCTCACTGTTGGCCTCTTTTTCAAGAACGTTTATGAGAAGTTTAACAGAAGTTGTCCAAATGCAAATTCCAGCAACACAACCTTCTTTGCTATTCCCTTCTATTCCCCCCTCCAAGTACGTGGCCATGTTTTCATGATGATCTAATGTTAATAACAAGGAAAATACCATATTCCCTTTATATAAAGTCATGGTTCGCCCACATCTTGAATACTGTATGCAGATCTGGTCACCCCATCTAAAAAATGTATATTGGATTTGGAAAAGGTACAGAAAGGGCAACAGAAATGATGGGGGGTAAGGAACAGCTTTCATATGAGGAGAGATTAACAAGACGGGGACTTTTCAGGTTGGAAAAGAAATGACTAACGGGTAAAAGGGGATATGTTAGAGGTCTAGAAAATCATGAATGGTGTGGAAAACCAGAATAAAGAAATGCTATTTACTCCTTCACTAACATAACACAAGAAGCTCACCCAATTACATGTATAGGTGGCAGATTTAAAACAAATTATTTCTTCACAGTCAACCTGCGGAACTCTTTGCCAGGGGATAGAGGAAAGGCCCAGACTATAACAGGGTTCCAATATATATTCAAATTTTAAGGCTAACCAGTGTCCCTTAAATGACTTGACACAGGATGCCAGAATGTTAATATTAGAGTTAAGTGGATCTAATATTTATTTACATTTTCTTTCTTTTATATAGGAATTAGATACAGTGCTCCTGTCAGCTGATAGCTAACCTTATTCCCCCCCCCCCAAAAAAAACCCTGTAGTTTTTCAGTGCTTTAGTAGCCCTAGAAAGAGGTGATATATACAGGTGCCTCTATATAAAACCATGGTACACCCACATCTTGAATACAGTGTACAGATGTGGTCACCTCATCTCAAAAAAGATCTCTTGGCATTGGAAAAGATTCAGAAAAGGGTGACAAAAATGATGAGGGGTTTGGAACGGAACCCATATGAAAAGACTGGGACTTTTCAGCTTACAAGAGAGGAGACTAAAGGGGGATATGCTAGAGGTCTATAAAATCATGACCGGTGTGGAAAAAATGAATAAGGAAAAGTTATTTACTTATTCCCACAGTATAAGAACTAGGGGTCACCAAATGAAATGAATAGGCAGAAGGTTTAAAACAAACAAAAGGAAGTTTTTCTTCACTCAGCGCACAGTCAACCTGGGGAACTCCTTGCCGGAGGATGTGGTGAAGATCAGAACTTTAACAGGGTTCAAAAAGGAACTAGATACATTCATGGAGGTTAGGTCCATCAATGGCTATGAGCCCGGATGGGTAGGAATGGTGTCCCCAGCCTCTGTTTGTCTGGAAATGGGTGACATGAGAGGGATCACGTGAGGATTACCTGGTGTGTTCCCTCCCTCTGGGGCATCTGGCATTGGCCACAGTGGGCAGACAGGATACTAGGCTAGATGGACCTTCGCTCTGACCCAGTACGGCCGTTCCTATGTTCTTATGATATATGGGGCGGGGAGGGTGAATACAATTGGTCCTCCTCCAGTTTGCTGCTTGGCTTGTACTGAGCATGCTCAGTAACACTGCTGAAGTCGCTGTCCTCAGTCTGCTCCCACCCATGCTCTCACTCTTCCCCCTCCCTCATCATGGCATGCACAGGTCAGCCCTTGCCTACCAAAATCTCAAATGGCGCCCCTGCCAACGGCCAGATGTGGGGAAAGGGAGCTATAAGCAGAGCTCTGCCTTAAACAAGGGCATTGCGGTGTCACATCCATCATTCCGGGCAGGGCGGGGTGGCTCCGAGAAGAGCTGGGGGGTCTGTGCTACACTTAGCTGGGAGCGGGATGGTGCCACCTTGAAGGATGCTCTAGAACACAAGCCAGTTGTTCCTCAGCTGGTGTGAACTGGCCTGGCTCCACTTCATGGACTTCGGGTGGTGTTACGCCCCATTTACACCAGCATAAGCGAGAAGAGAACCAGGCACACGGTCCATGTGGAGGACGGAACTTCCTGACCGCCAGAATTTGTGGGCGGTTCCTGCCAGGGAGCATTGTGGGTTGCAGGACTTTGGAAGAGCTGTTCATTGCGACTGAGTTGGAAACCAAACCGTGGTGGACCACGCTCGTGGAACACGAGAGCACTCTCCCTGTGAGGGCCTCATTCCTTTGCTACTAATGTAGCACCACTGTCTGACTGGGTGTGCGAGGGTATTTATGGGATCAAAACTGGGGTCTGGGTGGCTCTGGTTGGCACTTCTTGCGTGATACCCCTGGGGATGCACACAGAGCGAATCTGCAGCTATTGGCCAAGAGCTATTTTAATTGGTTAATTTCTCTTGAATAGCTGATCAACCAGCAACAGCGGAGCAAATATATCCCTGGTGGGCCTCCAGATGAGTTCAGCAGTGTTCCACCATTGACGTCACTTTTGTCCACTTGACACAGGCAGAATGAAGACAGCTTCCAGCTGGCCACCATGCTAGAAGGAAGAAGGAAAGGGGGCTAAAAGGACCATTTATCAGTCATCAGAAGTCACTAGTGCTCCTGGGCCTTATTACTAGCCATCTCCCATGATGGAAAGTTCCCTCCCCCCCCCATCTGTAATGCCAACGGGTGAAAAGAGACGGTTGTCAGGGTCTTGAATGCACTCACACAAAAATGATACGAGGCAAAAACACCCTGTTGCCCATCCGCTAACACTTTTCATAAAACCATCACCCCCCAAGTGATCTCTCAGTTCTTGACCTCACAAGAAATGTGCGCCACCCCTTCAAAAGATGAATTGGGGAGCTTAAATTCATAACTTTGCTAGAGGCAAAAAATCATGGATTGAGCAGAGAAACTGTATTTATGACATGACAAATGATCTACAACCTAGTAACCTTCCTTTGACACTAGAGGAATTATCTGCCCACTTCACCTTGATTGGGCTCTTGCAACATGTATTGGTTGCTTTGCTTAACAATCTGTTCCTTGTATTTAGCTGTTTGACAGTCTGAATGCCTCTCCCTGACTTGAAGAAGAGCTCTGTGTAAGCTCGAGAAACGTGTCACTTTCACCAACAGAAGCAGGTACAATAAAAAATATGATCTCACCCGCTCCGTGTCTCCGCTCCTCTAAACAGCCGCTTTCCGGAGGTAAGGGTGGGTTCGAGTCATTTTGTAACAGCTTGGGAAAAGTTTCAGCATTGTCCAAGTGCCCCTGTGTTGACATTTTTAACCAAAAGTCTTCAGGCTGAAAATGACTTTTTATTTACTGATCATGCCTCTATTTTTTAAAAATAGTTGAAAATGGAAAAAAAACCCACCGATTTTACATTTCACAAAAGTTTTAGAAAGGTTGAGTTTTCAGCCTGATTCGGGACAGGAAAAACTTCCCAGAAATCTAAAAAATGTCCACAGGATGGGGAAGGTATTTCTCAGACAGCTCTGTGTGCACATGCCTGTCCGTGCCGAAATCAAGAAGACAGCCCTGTCCTTTTCATCCAGTGTTTGGTGCCTTCTCCTTCGTTCTGCAGGCCCGTCGCTCCGGCCCTTTCATTCAGCAGAACACAGGTGCTGAATTTTGGTTTTGCCAGGGGGGCTCCTCTTCATATCCCCCCCTGCCCGTGCGAGTAGCTGGCGGGGATTTAGGAGGAAGATGCTGAAAGAGAACAGGGCCTCAGGGTAGAGTGAAAGCTGAGTGGGGTTCAGGTCTGGGTGTCCACAAAAGATTCATTTGGCCCTATGAATGCTGATCATCCCCTATTTTTTTTAGGTGGGTGGTTGAGCCCCAGAGCAACGATGGAGTTGGTGCCTATGAACAGACTTGTCGACGGGGAGGAAGGAGACAACTCTCTTGGGACTTGAAGGCCCGGGGTGCTCAGCTGCCTGCACTGATCATGCCCCTATTTTTTAAAAATAGTTGAAAATGGAAAAAAAAAAAAAACCCCCCGCAGATTTTACAGCTCACAAAAGTTTTTGAAAGGTTGAGTTTTCAGCCTGATTCGGGACAGGAAAAATTCGGGCTGATCTGGCCCCGCCCCTTCCACATGAGGCCACACCCCTTCCAGCAGCACGGAGCCGGAGCCTACCTTGCCTCAGGGCCGTGGAGGCCGTCAGCTCTGCCACCTAGGCAACAGAAACTCAGTCATGGATAGGAACAAGCAGCTACAGCTCTTCTCCTCGTGGACTGTCCCCAACCTGGCTGGAAAAGCAAAGACGTCTGAGTCAGAACCAACCCTTCTCAGCCAAACCGGCTGGGCGTTCGAGTCCTACCCAGCGAGGGCTGATGACAGACCCGCACTCCAGCGATCATTATGTGGACCCTCGACTGAAAGGACCAGCAAACGCAATATACTTCTGGGCATTCACCTTCCCTACAGCCGCGATGACCCTCAACAGGCAGGGGCAGCCGGTCCCTGACACTCACATTGAGTGATGAAAGTTGTTGCTTTGGAGTTTAACTGTCTGAGCTAGAGCAGCCAGCGGCTTTGATTGATTTATAGAACCGTACGAAACACGAGTCAAGTGACATGGGGACATCCCTTTGAGGAGGCCTTTTGTGGCTGGCCCAGACACCAACAGAACAGTGAATCTGTGTGTGCGTTTGCGTGTGTGGCTTCTTTTTATAACACAAAGCACACTGGACCCTTTTTTAGACACAGTGGCTAAAACTGACCTTTTGAAGATCAGGCTCGAGGCTGGGTTTCAAAGCCTCTGCCTGGACGAAAAGTGGAGAAAGGAAAAAGCAAAATTCCCATGCTACTCCTGCATCTGCCTGGGAGCAGCAGCCTCGTCCGTTTTGTGTTTTTCGGCTAGCGGCTGTAACAGATGTGGCCTGCGTTTTCAGAAGTGGCTCATGATTTGACAGGCCCCACTTGAGGCCTGTGCTGGTCTCCAGAAGGTGCCGGACGGCTTGACTTCGCAGACACAGGCTCGGTCGGGTGTGAAAGGTGTGGAAATCACAAGGCCCTTTAGGAATGCTTGGCCTAGATTTGTAACAAAAAAGGCACTGTGTAACGGGGTGAAACAGGAACTGGAAACTGAGGAACAAACCCCTAGTCTCTTATGTGGGAAGAAGTCACAAGGAAAAGTCTTGCTGCCTCTTAGAATGGGAGCAAGGGTGAAACACTTAGTAAAAGAGCTCTGTGTGTGTGTGTGTGGTCCTGAATCCTTATCTGTGACCCTAACCACTAGGCAACAGTACAAAGAGCAGCTAGAAAAGCCAGGTTCCAGTGAGAAGTCAAATGGGAATGGGAAAACACTCCAGGAATGAATAAGTTCGAAGCTGAAGGATCTAGGCAGTTATATAGTATACTAGCCAATTAGCCCGTCATAAGACGGGATTTTCAGGTCTCTCCTCCGCGTCGGTCTTCTCTCCTGAGCCTCCGGTCACTCGCTCCGTCTTTCTCTCTCTCTCTCTCCCACTCCTACTGCCTCCTCCCCTCTCTCTCAGCTCTCCTCCGCCTCCTGCCTCTCTCTGTCTCTCTCTTTCTCTTCTCCTCCCCCTCCTGCCTCTCACTCGGGAGACAAAATGGCCATTTGGGCACCACCCTCCCCGTGCTGCATGAGGAGCGCGGAGCCCAAACGGCCGCTTGTGCCACTTGCTCCCACGCGGCGGCCTGGATAAGCAGCACAGAAGTCAGCTGAGTGCCACGGCAGGAGGCGAAGGGGGGTGGGGCAGTGATGTGCAGCGTGACAGCGGCTCCAGGTCCCGCCCCCTGGCCATGAACATCACTGCCCCGCCCCCTTCGCCTCCCGCCGTGGCACTAGGCTGACTTCTGCGCTGCTCAGCTGGGCTGCTGCCTCTGGGCCCCGCACTCCCCATGAAGCACGGACCACCCAGAGGGAACAGCCAGCATTTCAGTAACAGCGCCGCCTGGAGGGAACAGCCAGCATTTCAGCAATAGTGCCGCCTGGAGGGAACAGCCAGCATTTCAGTAACAGCGCCGCCTGGAGGGAACAGCCAGCATTTCAGCCACAGCGCCCCCCAGAGGGAACAGCCAGCATTTCAGCCACAGCGCCCCCCAGAGGGAACAGCCAGCATTTCAGCGTCATAGACTCTCAGACACTGGGCTACTATATATATGATTTTCAGAATTTCCATGAAAGACATTTTGAAATGTCAATTTTTTGTCCTGATTTAGTATGATCTATTTTTCCTTTCAATATGCTGTAATTTCCTGACTGCACTGAAATCCATTATCCCTCAAATGTCTTTTTTTTTATTTCTCCAACAAAAACCTAAAAAGGTACAAGAAGAATTTTGGTAGAAATGAAAAATTTTCATTTGCATCAAATATTTTGTGTGAGAGAAAAACAAATAACCTTTCCCAAAGAACTCTCCTGACAATCCATGAATATAAACAGCCTGCTGGACTCTGTGTTGATCTATACAAATGCGTAACCATCTATCATTTATATCTAGCTAATTTATTATCTCTTTATAAACAATAAATGGAGCTGAGAACCGAACATACCAGCATTTCAGTAACAGCGCCGCCTGGAGGGAACAGCCAGCATTTCAGCGTTACAGACTCTCAGACACTGGGCTATTATATATATGATAGGGGGACCTCTGAATCCTGACATCTCAGAAAATCATCACTGGTTTCCTCTCCATAAACTTCCAGTCATAGAACCATAGAATCCGAGAATTGGAAGGGCCCTCGAGAGGTCATCAAGTCCCGTCTCCCACCCTCAGGGCAGGACCAAGCACTGTCTAGATCATCCCTGATAGATGTCTGTCCAACCTGCTCTTAAAATGATGTAGGTGAACATTTAATGTATCTAATTTAATAAGAAGCTGATCGTTTTAAGTGCAAATTGTGTATATTGGATCAATTCAATCCCAGGGATCGGCTTTATTTGTCTGTGGTTTTCAGTACTGGGCCAAACTTAATGCCTTGGTGTATTTCCCCTGACTTCAGAGAAGTTATGCTAGAGATCAGCTTGGCTTTTAGGCCTTGAAGCCTATGCCAAAGGGATATTTTCCTACTTTGAATGTAATGAGTCTGGGCAGAGTGATTCTGGTTTTGCAACCTGGAAACATTCCTGCATATTTTAAGGAAGTTTTGGTAGTTTCCATGCTGAAGAAACCATCTGTGGCAGTGGATGACATGGCAACTTTTCGTCCAGTTTCTAATGTGTGCACGCGCGTTTTCACGTGCTTGTACACTTGCTGTACCTGTTCTAGTTTGATTTTTATTAAATCAGGAATTATTAAGTCAAATTTAGTAATTTCAAAATAATGTCCTAGTGTAGACATGGCCTTAAAGACTAACAAGAACATATAGAATTATGAGCTTTTCTGAGTAAAACCTACTTCCGCAGATGAATTGGAGTGGAAATAGCAGAATCCAAGATATATAAAACTGCAAAAGCAGTTACCTGTCAATTGTAGAGACCATGTTAATGAAGCTAATCAAGTAGGCTGGATAACTACCATTCATAGCTATTGATGTGAAAATGCAAATGTCAAAGGCAGGGGGAATTGGCTTTGTAGTGTATTAACCAGTTAATATCCTTATTCAAGTCCAGGTTGACAGTGTCAAACTTGTAAAGGAATTCCACACTGCAATTAATCTTAGACCTTTTCTTCATGGAGCCTCTGTCTACACAATATATAATTTTGCAAAGGATGCAAATCTGGCCGGGATCTGACAAAATATAATTTCCCAGTATCCCATCTCCCAGCATACAGTAAACAAAGCAGTGTGTTAATGAAAAAGATGATGCAGTTTTAGTTTCCTTGGTGTCATTAGTCTAAGCCATTTTTGATTATGACCTCAGATTTGACTGCTGCATACCGTGCCATGTTTCGCCCGAGAAGGCACGGTATGGGCTGGATCCAAAGCCCATGGACAGCAGGTAATGCAGGCAAAGGAAGGCACAGCCTTCCCAAAATTGCCTACACACCCCAGCCCTCGGGAAGGCTGGGGCTGCGGTGCAGCAGTCCTGCTCCGTGCCCACCAGGAAGGGCTGGAGCTGGGGCCGAGACCAGGATGGCAGCATGGCAGCCTGGCCCTCTGGGTGACCAGGAAGGATTGGGCTGGGGTGGGCGGGGCTTGGCTCCAGGGGCGGAGCCGCAGGTGGAAGGGGGTGGAGCTGGGGTTCGCCTTCCCCAGCTGAGCCTTCCCCGAAAGCCCACTGAAGTTTGAACCAAAGAGCTAATTCCCTGAGCTGAGCACTAGAACACATTTCTGTCATTTGTGGCTCAGACACAGTGTGGGACATGCAACATACATGGAACCGACAGAGAGTTACACACAGTTAACACTCTGGGGAGCTCCCGATCAAATTCAACCCTGAGGTAACCTAACGCATTTTGTGCTAGGAACCAAGCTGGCTCCGCAAAACGTTCCATCCCCTGATATCACTTGAATGTGACCGACAAAGGAATCGCAAGTTTCATAGATGCAACTCATGCTCAAGGCTGCTCATGGGTGAGGTGGGTGTCTTCGGACTTTTTGCTTAACCGGCTTTGCATTTGCTTTTCTTAATCAAAAGGGGTTTCAACCTCGCACATGTTGTATTGCAGAAGTGACCCTGACTTGATCGAGTGTGCCCAGGAAACACCTTTTGCACTGACCTGATGTTACATGCCGTTTTCCCAGCCTATTACTACGCTCTGTGAGGTGCGCTCACACAGCAGGGCTAAAGTCAAATTAAGATACACAACTTGACCTACATCAGTTGCGGAGCTGAAGTCGAAATAGTTTAATTCGGCTTTTGGCGCTGTCTGCACAGCAGGAAGTCGAAAGAAAAACACCTTTCCTTTGACTTCCCTTATTCCTCATGAAATGAGCATTACAGGAGTCCTCCCGCTCGACATTATTTCAAAATAAAGGCTTGTAGTGTAGACACGCACTATGTTATTTTGGAATCACGTCAGTGATTCTGAAATAACGCTGCTGCGTAGATGTACCCTGATTGTCTTCTTCTGTGGACCGATAAATCCCCTATGAAATCTGCCTCCCAAACATGCTTCAGTTTTATTGAATAAAGCCAAAGTTTCCAAGGAAGGATAGAGATTAAAAAAGCTTGAAAGCAAGCAATCCTTTCTATGGCACAGAAGGTTTTCCACACTGCTCTGTTTCCTGAATCGTCAGTTAAATGCAGGTGAAGCCTAGACTGTCAGCTACATTTTTCGCTGTGCTCAGACTCTTCCTGCCGGTAAAAACACAGCCATTCATATGGATTTCAGCGGAGCCTTCGTCCCTGTGCAAGTTCGTGTTTGTGTGTGTGTGTTAAGATACTCAGATCTTTGGTTACTGAAAACAACACAAGGGCTGTGTCTACACTGGGCCACTTATTCCGGAAAATCAGCCACTTTTCTGGAATAAGCTGCGAGCTGTCTACACTGGCCCTTGAATTTCCGGAAAAGCAACGACATTGATCTGTACAAAATCAGCCGCTATTCTGGAAAAACTATTCTACTCCCGCTCAGGCATAAGTCCTTATTCCGGAACACTGTTCCGGAAAAGGGCCAGTGTAGACAGCCCAGTAGTCTTTTCCGGAAAAAAGCCCTGATCGCGGAAATGACGATTGGGGCTCTTTTCCGGAAAAGCGCGTCTACATTGGCCACAGACGCTTTTCCGGAAAAGCAGCCTGCCCGTGTAGACGCTCTTTTTCTGGAAATACTTATAATGAAAACTATTCTGTTTTAAGCATTTCTGGAAATTCATGCCAGTGTAGACATAGCCATGGATTCTTCAGCTCTTCCCTTGAGAGTTTGCATGCTGGAAGGACGGGCAAAGAAGGGAGCCAAACACCTAGGTACAGCCAGTATATACCAAGGAATATTTGGTAGAGAGAATCAAAATTTCTGCACAGTTTTCCCATCTTTGGTCTCTGAGACCTCCCATCCTGGGTCTGCCATGGCAGATGCAAGGTGCTTTGCACAGCTCCACGCGGCCAGAGCTGCTCCATCTCTCTCCATGTTTCCACCCCAAACTTTCACCTCCCAGAACCTGGTTCCTTGTGTGATTTCACAGGCTGGAGTAGGGGGAGATTAGGACACCAAGTCCTGAAATGATCTATCTGCCTTTGCCTTTGTGTTGCAACCTTAGCAAGGGCAAATATTAGTTTACGTGAGTTTTGCTGTCCAACTTGCCTGACTGCCCTGCATAGTCGTCTTTGCAGAGATCAAAGGCCTTCTGCGTACTGAGGAATACCTTGATGGTCCCCGAGAAGTACATTGGCTGGCAGCCCCCTGCCCTCTCTCCCTTCTCTCTCTCAAACAGCCAACATAAGAACGGCCACACTGGGTCAGACCAAAGGTCCATCTACCCAGTGTCCTGTCTGCTGAAAGTGGCCAATGCCAGGTACCCCAGAGGGAGGGAAAACAAACAAAAGAAAGTTTTTGTTCCTGCAGTGCACAATCAACCTGTGGAACTCCTTGCCAGAGGAAGTGGTGAAGGCTAGGACTTCAATAGGGTTCAAAAAAGAACCAGATACGTTAATGGAGGTTAGGTCCATCAATGGCTATTAGCCACATGAAAAGATGGGTGTGCTTTTGCTTAAGCTGGATATTCAACATAGATGAAGCGGCAGATTGGGAGTAAAGACTTCAGGTCCCAGCCCGGGTTCCACCACAAACCCCCTTCAACAAATCATTCATGCCCAAGTGCCTGCTAATTTTGGGTGCCTGTTTGGGACACCTGGGCCTACTTCTCAGTGCTGCAGAAGACCCACCAACTCAAGTGGAGCTCAGCACCTCCGAAAGCCAGGCCCTCAGTCTCTCAGGTGGACAACCCAAACAGAGCAGGCCTCCCTGCCACGGGCGCCTCCTGCTGGACACGCAGGGAAGTAGTGTTTCAGCTCTGGGGCGCCCCCTTTGGGCTGGCATCTCCCCCGCTGGTACCTCATTTCCTCCACCTCTGTGTGAGGACCCACGTCCCTCCCGGCCCGCGGCGTGTTCCCCTCTGGGTACTGCCCTGCCACAGGGCCCCACACTCCGGGTCCTCCCCCTCAGGGAACCCCCAGTCCTAGGCCCACCTCGCCTCAGTGACCCACGGCCAGTCACCATCCAGCCCCGCCTCAGGGGCACACGCCAGCCTGACACGGCCACGCCCCACCGGCCAGGGGTGGGGACCTGCTGCCTTCTCCTGCCCTGGCTGCCTCCCCACAGCCCCAGTCCCCTCAGGCCTTGAAGCCTGGGAGCTTGCCTGGCCAGAGCTCCCCAGCCCTGCCTGCCTGCCCCAGCCCTGCTCTAAGGCAGGAGGCCTCCAGCTCCCCTGGCAGCCAGGTCCCTCCTGCTCCACACCCAGCCCGAGAGTGAGTCAATGACTCCTCTCCCCCCCAGGAGCCTCTATTTATACCGCCCCCACTGGGCCCTGATTGGCTGCCACCTGCCTCCACCTCTCCAGCCCTCTCCCAGGCTGGGTTTTGACCCTTCAAGGGCCAGTGCGGGGCAGACACATTGGAAAAGTGCAGAGCAGATACAGGGGGAGGGATAGCTCAGTGGTTTGAGCATTGGCCTACTAATCCCAGGGTTGTGAGTTCAATCCTTGTGGAGGCCATTTGGGGCAAAAAAAAAAAAAAAAAAAAATGGCAAGGAGGGGA